AAAAAAAATTTAATTGATAAAAAAATAATGAAATAAATAAAAATAAAAAGAAATAATGAAATAAAAAAATAAAAAGTGATAAAAAAGTTTAAAAAAATTAAGAAACAGTAGAAAAAATTGACACTAACCCTGCCATCTGGTTGCCATTCTCCATTGATGGGAAGGGGGGCGCATCGCAGAACCTGGCCTTGGGGCGGCAGGGAGACTAAATCCGGCCCTGGGCCCACCCTCGGTGCTACCACATATTTGTGTGAGGTTAACATCTTACGGGTCATGCACACAGGTGTTGGACCGTGTAGCTCAGTTGGACATCTGCTACATCCTTCAGATTTGACCACATGGCAGGCTGGCCTCCTCTCACCTTTCCGGTGAATTCAGGATCTCACAGCACAGCACAGAGGAGCCGTCTTGCATTTGCTCATGTCTGTTGCGTTGTTGACCTGTGCTGCCTTTGACAACCTGCAATTACCATTAAAAGGTGCAGAGGCAATGTCATTGGACGTCAAACGTCATCTCCTCCTCCATTCCCTGTAGAAATAAAAGCATCCACCATCCAGATGTTTCCATGCTGAGTATAAGGCCGGTCCGCGTCTTCTGACTTGTACGTACAATTTCCTGTGGGTCTGGACTGATGGAAAATTGCCATTATATGCATCAATATCATTCTGCACACTCATCACCAGCATATGGTGCTACAACCCGGATATTTTATATTATCATAAAAAAAAAAAAAAAGCTAATGCTAAATGAGATACAGACTTCAAGAACTCTTCCTGCATATTAAAAGCAGGAGGAAATAATAGTCATTTAATAACAAATGTAGATACAAGACACGTGCAAAGTATAAACATTTCTTTAATGATAGTGTTTTTAATCATTTTAGTCCTACAGATGAAAGAGATCAGCAATTTGTTTTACATTATCTAATAATAAACATTAATTGGACAAATTTTATGAGCAACAAATTCAATTTATTGGATTTTTTTAAATGTTTGGATCTCAAAATAGACGCCTGGCGCGCACTCCTCATTCCCAACGCATGCTCTACAGAAGGCTCTCAATACACACAACTGGTTGGCAAAGCATTCTCTCCATTGAGTCCTGTTTCTCAGTAGAAAGGGTTCAGCTTATCAGGTAGGCTCTGATGCTGGGGAAGCATTACATTCCCATCTGCCAAAGAGGTCCTGGATCCTCTCACCGATGTGTCCCCTGCTGCCACCAACTTCAGGTCCTGCGGAGATCCTCTTTGGCCATTGGGTGGCCATTGAGTTACATTGTCTCCGTCACCCAGGGCTGTAGCTACCATGGGGGCGAGTGAGGCACTTCCCTTCGGCGCAGATGAGAGGGGGCGCTGGCTGCGCCCCATCGCCGCTGTTGCCATGGCAAGCACAGGGCGCCAGGCAGCCAACACAATTGTAGAAATGTCACCAGCACACCAGTCCTTTTAAGATAGCAAAAGCTTCATTTATTGAAGTTTCTTGTCATATGACCAAACAAGCGCTTTCGGGACCGCGCAGGGTCCCTTCATCAGGCTTTAGCATTGACAATTGTACAGTGATCACATCTAGGTATAAATAGACAGACAGTTGCATAAAACACCAATAAACACACCCTCTGACGTCACAATGACATCATAATCCCGCCAAAAAACATAGAAAGAACACAGCCAACACAGCCGCGGCTCGCAGGGAGAAGAGAGGTGGCACAGGCTCCAGCTTCTCCTAGGATCCCCGCTGCTCTTCCCCACCTGGAGGCGGGGCGCATGACATCTAGGGTTGCCACCTGTCCAGGATTCACCCGGACAGTTCGGGTTTTGAATGCTGTGTCCGGGTTTCATGGCAGCAGAAACCCGGACACAAGATGTCAGGCAGACAGGGGGCAACCAAAATTAAGATAGGGGCTACTGCCCCCCCCCACTGAAAACAGTCTCAACTGTGATATTTACATAGGAATGGGTGGCGCTATTTACTTATGAATAAGCCGCCACTCATTCTCCCCGAAAAATGTTTGCGCGTCGCTAGAGTGTTCGGGTTTCGCTTGAAGAAAAGGTGGCGACCCCAATGACATCACATGATGCCGCACGTGTGCAGAGTTGGGTGACATCACACGTCTGTTGGGGGGAGCACAATTTTCTGTTCTTGCCTCGGGCACAAAAGGCGCCGGCTACCTGAATGTCTGCAAATAACTGCAATGGCAAACGCCAGAAAGAACTGAGCCATTTTAACGGAACTTGTGTGTGCGCAGGATGGTCACAGCCAGGGCCAGATTTACTCTCTCTGCTGCCCCAAGGCCAGGTTCCTCAATGCGCCCCCCTACCCGCCAACCTCCCCCCCCATGGAGAATGGCGGACCTGCAGGCTGCATACAATTGATCTCGGTGACATCGCCGAGATCACTTGTACAAAACAAGCGGCGGCTTCCCCGCTGTACATTTGGCTCTGCTTGCCCAAAGCCGGGCTAAATGTAGCAAACAACTGCCCGCCCGGCACCCGGAACTGCATGTCCCGGACATCGGGAGATAGGAATTCCACACCGCTGCTGCCCCTCTACTCCCTGCTGCCCCTCTGCTCCCTGCTGCCCCTCTACTCCCTGCTGCCCCTCTGCTCCCTGCTGCCCCTCTGCTCCCTGCTGCCCCTCTGCTCCCTGCTGCCCCTCTACTCCCTGCTTGGTTGGCCTTGTGGGAAATCCGGCCCTGGTCACAGCTATACAGCTCTCGCCAGATATTTTATAGGTGGACTTTGGAGACTTTAGGTCCTAATGACTTCACAACATACAGGGGTGCAGGTACTCTTAAAAACTAGACCACATAGGGATTCATATACACACACACACATGCACAATCACATACAGACACACAAAGGTTGAACCGTCACGTTCTCAAACAATTCACCCCCACACAGCTCCCTCCTCATGTATCACTGGCCCCTTCCTCTTAGATTGTAAGCTCTCAGGGGCGGGGTCCTCCTTACCATCTTGTCTTGAATTGTATTGTGATTGTAATGTCTTCCTTATATTGTACAGCGCTGCGCACACTGTTGGCGCCATATAAATCCCGTATAATGATAATAATAATAATAACTCGATGGACCTGTGTCTTTATTCAACCTCAAATACTATGTAACTATGTAACATTACCAGCTGCAACATTTTGCAGGAGGGGGGGTCACATTCCCCATTATATTCTACTTATTATACAATGCATCTAGCGGGTATAATGGGTCCCCCTTTTAATAGCCATGGGAGCTGCGTAGGCGTTAAAGCGTTAAAGCTTCAGTGATGACATCTTACCAAATCACCAGAAGAGACATGGAACCATTAGGCGATTGATATCTCTAGCGCAGGGGTGCCCATTAGGTCGATCGCGATCTACCAGTCGATCGCAAAGCGAACATTGGTAGATCGCGATCGGCTGTGTCCTGTCCTCCCGCGACGCTCGTGTGGCTGCCAGCTGAACTAGAAAGACAGCAGAGAAAGAGAGAGAAGAAAGGCAGCAGAGAGAGAGAGAGAAGAGAGACAGCAGATAGAACAGGGGAGAGAGAGAAGAGACAGCCAAGAGATAGGGCTGGTTCACACCACAAAGTCTGCGTTCCAGAGTGTTTGGCCTCTAGAACGCACTGGAATACAAGCCGGCGGCTCCGCCACGCCCCTCCCGCACCCTCAGTGCGATCACCCTTCAATGCACCACCACACCCCCTCCCGCCCCTGAACGCAGGTGTGTGTTTTTTCGTTGGTAGATCTCATTGAGCTCGTCATTTGAAAAGTAGATCTCCAGAGAACAAAATTGTGGGCGCCCCTGGTCTAGCGTGTATCAGAAACTGAAATGTAATTTCTGGGTTACTAAATGATTTAAAACAATCCATGCCAACCAACCAGAAATCAGCTGCCCAGGAACTGAGAAGTGGTTTTGGGTCGGTTGACGTGGTTTATTGATCAAATGCAAGTGTTGGGGCAGATTGTAACAATGTTACTAATTCAGCCGTCTTTGCTTCTGTTTTAGGTCTGACGAGTGTGCCCAAGGACATTCCAAAGGACACCACCCTCTTGGACCTCCAGAACAACAAAATTACGGAAATTAAGAAAGATGACTTCAAAGGACTCAGCCAACTCTATGTGAGGGACCTCTATGTTTATGTGGCTGGAGTAAAATGCGTCACACCTCTCTACAGAATAGATAGAAGATACTTGCGTATAGCAAGACAAGACACAGAGAGCGCCAAAAACTTTTTAATAAACGAATAAAAAATGGTATAAAAGGGTCAGAACGAAAGGTGCATATCCACCGGCTCTTCGTCTTCCCTGGTAGTGAAGTGGTTTACGCGTTTCAGAGGTCACGCCTCCTTCCTCAGAACCAATTGGGGGTGTTCCACTTGAGTATAGGCCAGGGGGTAGACAACTTTTGCAAGACTGAAATCCACAGGCTAGACTCCTAGAGGCAGAGACATGATGGCATTTGCCGTTTCACCATAGATGGAGTGCCAACGTTGCCTAGGAAGTCTGCCAAGAGAATCATGGAGGCTGCCATTGCTGTTTTCTCCCTTTAAATATGCTGGCAACCTCAGCACTCCAGCTGTGGTGAAACTACCAGTCTCGTGAGGCATTGCAAGACTGATCTCCACAGGCATGACTCACAGAGGCACGATGGAATTTGTAGTCGAACCACAGCTGGAATGCCAAGGTTGCCTGGGAAGTCTGCTAAGAGAAACACAGAGGCGGATTTCTCTCATGCTGGATGCCTGGCTTTCATGCTGACCACCAGACATCCCAACTCTCCCGGACGCTCCGGGAGTCTCCCGCTATTAGATAGCGGCTCCCGGCCGCCCGAGAGAGAAACACTTTCTCACGGAAAGGTTTGCTCTGCCCGATCTAGCAGAGTAAACCTTTCCCTGCTGTTTTTTTTTTTTTTTAGATTCCTATTGGCTATTGAAATTTGCAATAGCCAATAGAAAACTAGCTATTGCACCCGTCCACTGCTGCTGTCAATGAGCAGAGGGGGACCTGAACTTCTCCATCAGGTCCCCTTCTAGTGATTGACAGCAGCAGTGGGCGGGTGCAATCGCTAGCTAGTTATTGAATATTGCAAATTGAAGTAGCCAATAGGAATCTAGCTCTTCATTCCTATGCTGGGTTTTTTTTTTTTTTAGTATTCTGGCGGCCGCAGCTGTCAGAATACTAAAAAAACAAATAGGGGGGGGGGGGGGCAGAGGCACCTCCCTGAAATGAGAAGGGCACCTCCCTGAAATTGCATTTTTCAGGTTGGGATCCCTATGCTGACTCTGGCTTTATTTAGGTATCTAAGCCAGTGGGGGTCAACTACGTGTCTATGAGGGACCTCAAAGGTGGCACCCGACCTGTCCAGAGCAAAAGCCAAATGTCTTACCAGGTGTTACCGCAAAGCATGGCAACCCGTGTACTACTGTGCATGCGTTGTGGTGGCATTTATTTTTATAGATACCCCAACTCACTGTTACAATTAGGGCAATGCTACCGCACTGAAGGGCGCCACAATGCCCATGCTGTACATTGTTCTGCGCTGCATAAAACGTTTTATGTCTGTGAAAGGGTGCTAAAAATTGTTAACAATTCTGAATGACATTGCATTAGCTTGCGTAGTAAAGGCAAATGTCACCGTCTGCGGAGATCCTCTTTGACCATTGGGTGGCCATTGAGTTACATTGTCTCCGTCACCCAGGGCTGTAGCTACCATGGGGCGAGTGAGGCACTTCCCTCAGGCGCAGATGAGAGGACATATTTGGTGTGACGCTAGGATAATGGGGACAGTTTTTTTTAACGAATGTATTAATATCCTTTTTTTAGTTTGTTTCCATGGTGTGTCTGGAGCTGATCAGTGAAGACCAGATCCAGACCCC